GCCAGGGTCACCAATGAGGAAGTGCTGAGAAGAATGGGTCGAGTCAAAAAATTGTTGAGAACGATAAAAGTATGCAAGACTGCATACCTTGGAAACATACTAAGAAATAATAAATATAGTCTTCTGCAGGTCATCATGCAGGGTAGAGTCGATGGCAAAAAGGGAATAGGTAGAAAGAGGAAGTCATGGCTGCGAAATATTCGAGACTGGACAAACATGACTGTAGACGAATTATTCCACGTTGCAAAAGACAGAGAAGCTTCTAAAAATGTGGTCGCCAACCTCCGTTAATGGGGACGGCATAGGAAGAAGAAGAATTTTATTTTAAATTAAAACTCCCAATAATAAATAACTTTTTGACTTTGACACTACAGTGTATGTTTGGTTGCATATGCACATGGCTGACTTAAACATATTTAATATTAAATAAAATAAAAAAAACTTTTTAAACTTAATTCTTATGCTAAATTCTTAAAAATACCCTCATATAATTATTTTTTAATAATATTATCTAGTATATAATTTATAAATTATGTCTTTAATTACTATTTAAATAAATTTATTAATTAACAGTGTATATCTGTTCTCATTACAATATATATATATATATATATATATATATATATATATATATATATATATATATACAGATTGAACCAAATTAAAACGGAACATACAATTTAATACATGTCTGTTTGAACTGCATTTAAAATAGTGGACCAATATAAAACTTGGACAAAAATAAATCCATACCTGGGTATAGACATTGTATAAAATATCGTTCAACTATCTGTCTCGCAACAAAGTTGTTTGCGTAAGACGGGTTTGTCTAAGGAGGCGAAAATAGTTCAGGAATTGAAGCTCGAAAAAAGTTAAAACCTCGCAATTTTTTCGTCCTGCATGTATCCATTTGAAATTTTAGCAGAAGGTAGGTAATAGTCCAAGGATCAAAATCTATATCGAACCGAAGTGCGCTGAAGGGTTTTAGGGGTGAAAACTACCCCTAATTGTCAAAAATTATAAAATAACATATTAAACCTGAATATGGGTAAGATTTGGTTTGAATTAATTAAATAATGATTATTTTATACTTTTGAATAGAGTTCCATCATATTTCAACCCTTAAAAAGCAACCCTTGTTAGAGATTAATGTAAAAAATTACTAATTCTAAAAAAATGATTTCGCCTTCTATCATTTGGATAAAAATTTGGATTTAAGCTCAATTCACCCGCTGCTTTATAGTTTATGTCATGTCGACGAACGCTGATTGTTCTTAGGGGTGAAAACTACCCCTAATTGTCAAAAATTATAAAATACCATATTAAACCTGAATATGGGTAAAATTTGGTTTGAATTAATTAAATAATGATAGTTTCGTGCTTTTCAATAAAGTTCCATCATATTTCAACCCTTAAAAAGCGACCCTTATTAGAGATTAATATAATAAAATTAGTAATGCGAAGAAAATGATTTCACCTTGAAACGACTTGCATAAAAATTTGGAATTAAGCTCAACTCACCCTCTGATTTTTAGTTTATGTCATGCCGATGAACCCTGATTGTTCTTAGGGGTGAAAACTACCCCTAATTTTCAAAAATTGTAAAATAATATTACAAATCCTAAGATGAGTGAAATTTGGTTTGGATTAGTTAAATAGTGAGTTTTTTATACTTTAAAATACAAATTCATACATTTTCAACCCTTAAAAATCAATTGTTATGAGTGCTATAGGTGAAAACAATTTTTTGCCAAAATTTTGCAACTTTTCAACTTTTGAAAATCACCCTTTACAACATTGAAGTTTTCATAAACTAATTTATAAGATATAAATTGAAAAAAGTAGAATTAAATACAAAAAAAATTATCAACATAAAAAGGCACCATATATTCTTATACATTTACATAAATAGTTGAAAATATTTACATTTATAGGTAAAACAATTATAATATTAATTTTATTCGTCATCAATTACATCTTCATCGTGATCTATGTCATCATCATCTTCCTCTGTGGATTGGTGGACTGTTATTGCACCCTTCACCTGAGCACCCAGAACAAGTAGAGTTACAGTATAAACCAACTTTTCTGCACCCATATGAAACGCCGCATCCTTTTTTGCATTGGCAAAAAATAATTTTCAAAAATTTATCGGGTGCAGGTTGTTTGTTCATGCGTACGGGTAATAACAAACCATCTTTGGAAAACCATCCCCAATCTGTTGCTCTGATATTTTCATTGCCAAGCCATAGACATATGAGAAGATGTTTTATTCTGTTGTATGGGATTTTAAAATAAGAACGCTTAAAATTTCGAATGTATAACGCCCCACGAAATGTACTGTACTATACTAATGGAATTTTCCGGAAAAAAATTAACTGGTTTTTTAACGTATTTCATTTAATTTTTAACGATAGATGTTTCTTCAAAAACGATTTGTAGAGGTTTTTAATAGCTACAAGGATCTGTGAATTAAATCTTTTTGGAACCCTTGGTTTTTAAATGGGGTGAGTTTAAAGGGCCCGAAAAAGATGGTGCTTGATCGTAAATCGATGCTTTAAACGGCTATATCTCGCCAAATATTCATTGTACAACAAATCTAAATAAAGGATAATTTTAGTCATTAAAAAAGCTACAATTTGTTAATTTTTATTTTTTTCATATATTCAGTATTTTCTGGCATATTTAAAAAAAGAAGGGTAAAAAATATGAAATTGTAAATCGTTTCTCGCTTTAAGCTGTACTTTTTTTTAAACTAAGCATTTTAAATGGGTCAAACTTCTTGGAAGTATTAACAATACATCTACAAAGGGAATTGCAGAACGGTGAAGATCGATTTTAATTATGGGGGTGGTTAGGGTGTTGTTTTCCTCGATTTTTTCGTAAAAAATGAGGTATTGACCTTATTTTTTTATGATAGGTCTATTTATGCTCTTTAAAAAAGGTTTTGTGAGTTTTCTTCCAAAAATGCATCATTTTCCCGATATTTGACTTTGAATCTTTCAAATTTGGCATTTGAAGAAAACCGCTGAACATTGATATTGTATTTGTAATTGTATTTGTCTTTTTAAAAGCTACAAATTTGTTCTCTACAATTTTTTTGATAAAATGCACCATTTTCGAGTTATTCGCGAAAAATCGATTAAAAACGTGGATTTTTTCGTCTAAAAGTTGTTACTTTCAATCGCGAATAACTTGAAAAATATCATTTTATAAGAAAAATGTATAGCACATTTTTTGTTTAGAATCACTTTTCTAATCGAAACCTGTAGTTAAAACGTAAAAAAAATTTCACCCCGGAGATGGGGTGGCAACCACCCTCTAGGCTTTGGCGCACTTTGGTTCGATATAGATTTTGATCCTTAGGCTATTACCTACCTTCTGTTAAATTTCAAGTCAATCCGCGCCGCACGAAAAAATTGCGAGGTGAAATGCTACATTTCCTGGACTATAACTGGTTTGACAGCATAATAGTAGATTTATGTGTAGCTTTCAATTTTTATGAGTTCAGAATCCAGCAGCCCACTGAAGTATGGGATTTTTTATAATATAATTATTTGACAATCTTTTGTTGGCCAACCAGCTACAGCAGAATTGAGCCGAAATACATTATATTCCTATGTTCCGAATTTATTTTTCGTTCAATCTATATATATATATATATATATATATATATATATATATATATATATATATATATATATATATATATATATATAGGACATCAAAGAACAAAAGTTTATTTGTTATAAAATTTATTTGTCATAATCCAAATATTATGTTATGCAGACGACGCCGTATTAATCGCCGAGACAAAAGACGAGCTCCAAAGATTAACACATATCTTCAATACAACACCTAAGAAATACAATATGATAATATCAGCAGAAAAAAAAAACAAATGTATGATAATATCTAAATACCCACTAAGGTGTAAAATCGAAATTGATGAGAAAATAATAAAGCAGGATGCAAGGTTTAGATATATGGGAATAGATATAACTGGCTACGGAGATGTTGAAGAAGAAGTACGGTAACAAAGCTTAAAATCAAGTAAAGCAGCGGGTTCTCTTAATCACACAATCTGGAAGAACAAACACCTAAGACAAGACACAAAAACAATAATCTATAAAGCAGCAATTAGACCTATATTAACATACACGGCGGAGACAAGACCTGACACATCTAAAACGAGACGACTGCTAGAAACAACAGAGATGAAAATACTCCGACGAATATCAGGGAGAAGTCTGTTTAATAGAGAGAGAAGCGATATAGCGAGTAATAGTACGAATAGCACGAGATAAGTCACAAAATGGACGAAGAAGTATTGACAGACCAAGAAAAAGATTTAGGAGGCTAATATTGAAGAATAAACAGGCTTTGAAGCCTACATATTAGAAGAAAGAAGAAGAAAAAAAAAAGAAATTTATTGCAGTTATGTCATATACACTGTATATTCAGAAAATTCTCTCATAGTGGTGTTATATTTAATGTTTCGTCTTGTAATACATCATTGTTCTTAAAACTGAACACTGAAATACGTCCATTACTGTATGTAGGTAATTACTATTTAAATGGGAATAAGCCACAATTAAAGATTAAAGTAAGTTTATTGACGTTTTAATTTCTACTTTGGGAATCTGGCTCTAACCTTTAATTGTGGCTTGTTCCCATTTAAATAGTAATTACTTTAAAATGCCATAAGAAAATAGCTTTAGAGCAATACTGTATTAGTGTCTTGAGTAGAATTTCATATATAATTGTGTAGTTAGGCTGCTGTATAGCACCATAGACTACATAACATTGAATACATTGAAAACATACTCATTTCATTGAATGTACCGAACGAATACGACTAACAACTCATCGCTTTTTTCTCCCTCATATAAGATTGGGAAAATGACACTTACCAGGTTTTTGGAATTTTAAAACTCTGATATGGCAATATAATGTGAGCACTTTTATGAATAGGTATTATTTTATTCTGTTTTACTTACACCACCAGGTGGGTCTGCAATTCCTTTTATGACGGCACCTAATAAACCTCCAGCGAAAGCACCGATATCAGAACCACCTCCTCCATCTCCACCTCCCTTAAATTATTATTAATAGAAGGTATTGTCAAATATAGACCAGTTAATTAAGCTTACCCCGAAAAATCCTTTTAGTAATTCAGTTAATCCGGAAAAGTCGTAGCTACCGTCATCATTTTGCTAAAAAATAATTTTACTTGTATTAGATCTATATGGTATGCAAAGAAAAAAAACTTACTGTACTTAAACTGCCTATAAGACCAACAATTGCGTCTAGATCAATACCTCCATCAGGCTAGAAAAAAAAAACCAAAAAAAAATAATTTAGAATGCGTTTAAAAAATATGTAAAGTAGATAGAGCTAAACAAATTTTACAGTACAATTTAAGCTTAGCATAGAGTGTCTAGCTTAATTGTAATTAAAGTTAAAAATGAATAAATATTGAATACGTTACAATAATATAATTAAAAATAATGTAAAGTATCACATCTTTAATGTTTTTAAAATTTTAAATCAAATACAGTACCAAAATAACCGGAAAACAAAGGAGTGGGGAAGTATAGAACAAGAACAGAGGAATCAAGACCAATAATATATATTTAAATTTTCGTATGATTATTCTTTGTCAACCATTTTCCATCCACCCTGAATTTAGGTCTCTCCCAATTGCTTCCATCTTTCTCTATCTTGCACCAATTTAATCCACTGTTTGCTTTCCACTGCTCTTATATCATCTACCCATCTTTTTTGAGGTCTTCCCATGCTTCTTCTTGTCGTCCTTGGTCTGCATTCTAGAATTCTCCGTGTCCACCTGTTGTCATTATATCGGGCTACGTGACCTACCCAGCGCCATTTCATTTTTGTAATTTCTTCCACAGTATCCCTAATCTTCGTTCTACGTCTTATCTCGGTGTTTCTAATCGTGTCTCTTAGTGATATTCCAAGCATGATTCGTTCCATTGCTCTTTGCGTTGTTTCTAATTTTTTAGCAGATGTTTTGGTAAAGGCTACTATCTCCAAGCCGTAGGTACAAACTGGTAGTATGCATGTGTTATACACCTTTTTCTTTAAGTTTATAGGAATGGAGGTGTTTTTCAAGATATGTGCTAGTTTGCCGAAAGCTTCCATGCCAGTTGTGTTCTGTTAATTTCAGCATCTTGATTTGGTTTTCATAGTTTGATAACATGACCTAAATATACATAATGTTCAACATTTTCTGGGCCTGCGTAGCGCAAGCGGTAGTGTGCTTGCCTCGCATGCCGGTGGTCGTGAGTTCGAATCCTACCGCCGGCAAGAACAACTAGGCATTTTTAAAAATGTCTATAGGCCCCAGGTCGACTCAGCCTGAATAAAATGAGTACCTTGGGTAAAACCAGGGGTAATAATAGGCGGTTGAAGCGTAGCACTGGCCATGTTACCTTCCTTGTATACCGTAGGCCCTAGATATAGCAGACTACCCTGCTATACTCCCAAAGCCGCGTGCGGTATAAAACGGGAGACTATTATTATTATTATCAACATTTTCTATGGTATGATTTTGTATTGTTATATTTGTCTGGTCTCGGCTATTTATTAAGCTATCTTATGCCATTTTAATAAAATAATTTAAAACAAATACCAGTAAAAATATAATTTTGCCATATTTTTGACCAAATATAAGTTTAAATATATGTTACCTTACTAAGGCCTCCAAGAAGAGCCGATAAAATTCCTGTGACCATATTCATGTCTTCATCGTCTTCTTCACTGGACTCATCCGATTCTTGGGATTCTTTTTCAGCAAATTCAGGATCATCTTTTTCTGTTTCTTCTCTAGGATTGCGAGTAGTTTCGTTGACAGAACTTTCAACTTCGCTTATGTTGAAAGTTGCAGAAAGAGAGACTACTATTCTTTCAGTTGTCTCGACATGGGTCTATAAAATAAAATCTGAATTTAAACAAAGGTAAGTTTAACATTTGTTTTACGAAGAGTTGTAATAAAACTTATCATAAACAGACGCTAAAGATTTATTGGACCAGCTATCTACTAAATCTTTCATCATTTTTAGAGCTGATCTAAGATCTAACTCTCATAGAGGGCGCTAGTTACAAGCTTCGAATTAAGTATTATTCAACACAACGTTTTAAGGGTAGAATTATTATTAGAAATTTCAAGTGAACTTAAACATCAGACATTTTTACACCAAAAAGGTACTCTTGGAAAAACTCGGATACTGTGTACTCGTTTTAATAACCGAGGTTGGTATAAACTAGGTAATGAATAATAAGGAAAGTTGTTAATTAAAAAAATCACAAGAAAAAAATTAAAATAAATACTATGAAGATAAAATAAAATTCAGTTAGATTAAGTATTTAAAATGTCCTTGGTTTGCACGAATATACAAGTATATCCTTTTTGTCCAACGAATCCATTAATCTTACAAGCTGTTGAGGATTAGCTATGATGTCATTAAAGTGACGTTGAATGCTGTCTGCCAATTCTTGACGTGAATTTACCTCTGTAACATGGACTTTTTCATTAACATACGACCAAAGTGTGTAGTTTAAAGGACTAAAATCATATGTCCATAAAACCAATCCATCGATTCGGTTGACAAATGTTCGGGTGACAAATATCAGTGACAATGGTTTATTGTATTCAGCAGACTTCTCTATTAGGTTCTTTATCACTAGTAAGTGGTCGTTAGTGCTGTTCGCGTTCTAAATCCAGCTTGTTCTCTAAGCTGCGAGAAGTCTCCTTGCCTGTGTAATACAATAATGACTGCATTATTCCATTGAGAAGAAGTTTTTTATTGGTAGATGCATTCAGTGAAAAGCTTGGTCAAAGCCTGGATAATTTTATTTCCACCTAGTTTGATCGCTTCGATCACTACTCCGTCATCGCCAGGGGATTTGCTATTTTTCAGTTCTAAAAGTGCGGTTTTGATTCTGTATGGAGGTATTTCTGGCACTAATTCTGATCCCTGTTCGTGATTTTGGGCAGGGGCTGATCCTTCCTTTTGTCGGTGCTCTCATATATTTCGCGATAAAAGTATTCGGCAACCTCAAGGATTTTGGTTCTATCGGTAGTAATGTTTCTATCTTTGTTTTTTATTTTTTACATCTTTTTGTTGCCTATGTTGTTCGTATTTCGCATTAAAACTTTTAAACGTTTGTTTTCTTGAATTATCTAGTTATTTTTGTTTGTATTGTTTTCTCTTACTCTTTTCGGATTGAATGGTGGATATCTTTATTTAATTTCTTCATTGGTGTTGAAGCCGTATTTTTCCATAAGCTATTTTTACCTATTAGCTCTTTGGTATTTTGACTAATTTTTTCCTCATGGATCAGAATGGTTGGGCAGCACTCTCTTTCCATATCTTTTAGAGTCTCTATTATGCTCTCATTTGCTTAATCTACATCTTCTATTTCGTCTTGCAAGTCTTGTATATGTCTGGTTAGTGTATCTTCATACAGATCGTTGTTTTCTGGGGAATCCATTTCTTTTTGTTTTTTGTTTTTAAGTTTATCTTTGTTCTTTCAAATTTAACATTTATTAATATCTTAGCTCGGATTAATCTGTGGTCGCTCCCTATTGAAAATGTGTTGAGTACTTCGATGTCGTTGATTATTTCTTTTCTGTTTGTTATGATATAATCTATTTAATTTTTCACACTACCGTTTGAGCTGATCGATGTTCATTTACGCTGAGGCTTTTTATCTAAAGAGTTTAAGTACAGAAATAAACAAACCACCTCTCAACAGAATAGTACAACATGTCACGTATCATGAGTGTCAATGGATTTACTAAGAAGATCGTTACCCGGTCATCTTATGAGTAAAAAATGGCCACCTCATAGTTTGGACCTTTCCCTATGCGACTACTTTTTTGGGGTATCTTAAGTCAAAACCGTTTCAAAGTAACTCCTTAAGATCTATCAAGGCTTTAAAAGAGCGGATACGCGAAGAAGTGAAAGCGATAAAGGAATGTTACTTAGTGTCGTAAACAGCTTTGTACCACAGGTGCAAGAATGTGTTCGACAAAATGGAGGCCACCTTTCCAATATCATCTTCAAAAACTGAATATTTCTTCACTTATCCATTTCTTCACTTCACCAAGAATGTATATCCTGTTGTCCTGAAATTAAGAAGAAAGACAAGAAAGTGGTTAACACTAACTCAATAATGTATTTTCTACTAAGTAATTAAAAGAAGGTAGTGATTAAAATGACGATTTTCGGACTGAAACACACGTTGTCAGTGGTTTGACCCGAGACACAAGCTTGTGACAACTTACGGTACAACAGATTTTTAATTTTCTATCCGTTGTTAATTATTAGAGTTAGACAAAAATAGGTCTTGGTGCGAGTAATTAAAATAAATCAACAAATAAAACAGAATTTTAAAGTGATTTAAAATAATATTAAAAATATATATAATTCACTGAACCATTTTCTTTAATTAAAAAACATGATCAGAAGGTTTTTACGCTTAATAACTTTTCTTATAATTTTGGTTCATTTGATAATTATTTAAGAACGATATTTTTAATTACAAAATATAGGTATTCTATTCAATTATCATAACCTTTATGATTTGTCATTGTTCCACATTTTTGGTTACACGTTCTCAATAGTTTAATGCTAATTGTGGAATAAAAATAAATTCATTAGTTCATATTCATTGATTCAACCATCATTTTATTGCGTCTGTTAATCTATATTAAATCATTCTAGAAAAACTATGTTTATTTTAATTAAATTTATATTCTTACCGATGTAGTTTCGTGATACTGACTGATAGTTGTGGTTTCAATTTTAGTTATGTTTTCCGTTCCTTTACTTTCTTTATTTGAAATTACCTAAAATAATTTAAGAAAAAATTGTTAAGTATAAAATGTTGTATAAATGGCAGAATATTTATAAGCGACATCATAATCATGAGCAGTACAATACAGGGTAATTAACTTTTCTGATAAATGCCTTTATTTCTGTTAATAAATGAGACCCAAAAAAAATTATTTAAAAAAAGATATTTTTTTTTTAATTAAAACATCCTGTATTTTAATTTAAATTTAGAATTCTCTTCACATTCTTGTTCCAAAAATACAAATTTGTGTTATAGAAGGTATTAAAAAAGTTATAATCTTTCAATAAGAAACGCAATAATTTCAACGCCCAAATTGAGGTGAAAATTAAGTGTGTTCTAAAATAATCTAATAATCTAATAAATAATAACAGAATTTTTGAAAGTTTTTTATTTTAAGATTTTAAATTTTCTAATGCCAATTTGCTTTTGATACTTTTCCGCGGGAAAATTGTTTATAGTTTTGTTATTTTAATTATTCAAAAAGCCATTGTTATGTTATTATATTAGTTATTATAATAGTGTCTGCCTTTATCTGCTTTTATTTTTTATTATTTATTTTATTTTTGAAATGGCTCTTTGATTCTGTTTTTAATAGGACTTTTTAGAAAAGAATACCATACATACTTCATAAACCTTATAGATCATTTGAAAACCATCGTTAATTCTATGTTGACCTTATAGGAGCTCATTTCAAACATTTTCTACAATAAAAATAATATTTTTTTTTTATCTTATTTTGATTTTATTTTTTGAGTGTTACCTAAGATATTTGTAAATATTAAAGTAAATAATAATGATGAACTTAATTAATGAAGTATGTACCTCTTTTTACTTTACAAATTAAAATATACCCAAAACTAAAAAAAATATAATATTATATTATATGCCTAGAAATATAAGTTTATGCACAGGAAATAGTTATTAAACAACAAATTAGACAAATTAAACTATATTAACATAAGTTTATGATGGTGATATCAAAATAATGGGTGTTGTATTTAAATATATAAATTAAAACAGAAAATAATAAATTTGTGTTTTGACTTACCCTGTTTTACATTTGAAGTATATTGGAAAATTTATTATTTTAATGAAATATAACAATAATTTAAAAACTATTGCTACAATAGGTCGTTGCTTTTGTACCCTTTTTTCTAATTATTCGTTGTACTTGTTACAATTCTTATTTAACTTTAATTATTACTTTTAAATTGGCTGTATAATACAAAACAACTGTAACGTGTATTTTAAATATAAAATAAAATACAGGATGTTTCATTAAATCTGAAACGTACCTACAACGTTGATGCTGTAGAGTGTTATAAAAACCCTGTATATTTCTAACTAATTTTAAAATGTCAAGCTTTCAGGCACGTCCTATTTTCGTAAATAACTTTTTTGGTATCCCTATATGAACCTATATAACGGACTTTGTTTCAAAAGTTGATCACCCTGCACGTGTCTTACCGCCGTAGTTCCTTTAAAATTCTTCTCAGTTGTGGTTTCGATTTTAACAATATTTTCTGTGACCTTAATTTCTTTATTTGGAATTACCTGAAATTATTTTAGATTTTCATACTGTTTTCAACGCTGATTTTGAGAAAAATAGTAAAAAAATTAATCACGTAGAGTTATTCAACAAAGTGATATAATAATGAGTTATTAGATGAAACCAGCAGTATTTTCATGTCGGCACTTGTCCGAATATCTTAAAAAAGTATATTTCGCTTATTTGGGCATAAAATTAGGAGATCAAAATTGGGCCCCGCACAAAGCTTGTTCTGTGTATGTAGAATACCATTGAATGTTTGAATGTTTTGGAATACCAATGGTTTGGAGCGAGCCCAAAAATCATAATACTGACTGCTATTTTTTTCTTGCAACTTACGAGGTTTCAATTTGAGAAACAAAAAGGATATTTCTTACCCTAACATGTAATCAGCCATTCGCCCTGTCCCTGATAAATCTGAAGTGCTAATACCCTCTCCTCCAGATTTTTTGATGATATACAAGATGATTGTAAGCCATTGGATCAGCAAAGTAATAGTGAAGAAGACAGTGATTGCTATGATCCTGGCACAACCGATCCAATTTCATTTTCACAATTTAAACTGAACGATTCAGTAAACAGCAAGAGCAAAAATTGGCAACGAACTCACTGAAAGTGTGCAGATCAAAAGAGGTGTCCGTCAGGGGTGTATATTATCCCCACTCCTATTTAATATGTATTCCGAGGAAATATTTAACAAATGTATGGGAAATGCAAACGAGGGCATAAAAATAAACGGCAAGTTAACGAACAATATAAGATAAGCCGACGACACGGTGATCCTTGCAATGCTAAACAATATATTCCCGAAATAAATACTACTATGGACAGCTACAGGAACACAAAAGAGAGGAAGATAAGAAAAATATGGACAAACGTATTAAAAAAATACATGAGCTCCAAAGAACTTAGAGAAGGACAATGAAATGGTGAAACTGATTGTATATATTATAACATTTTTAGCAAAAGAATATTTTTGTCTTACCGTTGTAGTTTCTTTAATATTACTGTCCGTTGTTGTTTCTAGTTTAACTGTATTTTCTGTGCTTTTACTTTCTTTGTTTTCTATTACCTAAAATTATCAAAATAATAATTTACACACTTTATATGACATAGAAATCGGAAAAGGTTTATATGATTATAACAGGTACAGTTGGCTGGTACTTTTGGCCTGACCCAGTCGTAGTCGCCATTTACCACTAAGGGCTCAATATGTTGACTTTGGTTAAATCTTTTATCATCGATATTAAATTATTACTTTTTAAATTTAAATAAAATTTATCATATAAACTAAAGATTTTTGATAAGACTAAAGACTTAAGATGTGATGGTTATAAGTTTAGCAGAACAATTAGCCTTACCGATGTAGCTTCCGTTAAATACCGGCCAGTTGTTGTTTCTATTTTAGCTATATCTTCTGTGCTTTTGTTTTCTTTATTTACGATTAACTAAAATTATTAGAATAAAAGTTGATGCATATTACATTATATATAAATAGCTAAATTATTGTAGAGTATTGGAAAATGATTAAATATATTTGAAATAATTTACACGTTTAGCAGAACAATATTTGTCTTACCAATGTAGCTTCTGTCAAATCTCTGCCGGTAGTTGTTTCTATGTTACCCATGTTTTTTGTACTTTTAGCTTCTTCATTAAGAATGATCTGAAATGATATTGCAAATTATTTCGAATACAGTATTATGGTTGGAAATAATCCGTTATATTTTGTATAGGTAATATAAGAATATTAACAGATAGCTGGCTTCTAAGTTAGACATTATCATTCTCGTTAATTTGATTTTCTGGTACACAAAACTGACACATTGATTGGTATATTACTGTTCTTTTGACACTGTCGTGTGCGGCCTTTGAAGTAGACGAATAGGTGATGGGTTACACAAACAAATAATACATAAAAATACACAAAACAGTCAAAATTCGTTATCTTGATATTGAAGGTACAAACACCACCGTCAGAATTTTTGTAACTAAAAGTAGGCTATTGTCATTCGTTTAGAAAAAACGAATGACAGTTGTTTTGAAAAAACAACTTGTACCAACTTTTTCGTTTATAGATTTCCCATACAAACATAAAATTACATACTATGATATGCCATAAGAAAACAGTTTTGGTTTCTCTCCGAGCAGGAGTTATACAATCAGCACCATTTGGGGCCAAAAACACAGAGCGCAAAGAATCCTAAAAACTACCTGCTCATCCATCGGCAATGTATTAAGAAGAAGACCTAAACCCAAAATCATATTCCTACCCGCTATTTTACTGACTCTTGTCGGCAACGAACTCCCTGACGAATACATTGATATAAAGGAGGCAACTCTCCTCTATTATCGTCGTCGATATTAATCTTAAATGCTTACTTCGAGCTTGCTCTAGACAGGGGGGATCGATTTTCTGTGGTCTCCCGATCCCATTTCACAACGATACCTGTCTATTGTAGAGGATACAGCCACAGCTGCCCTGTCGCGAACGCGTTTTCATACATTTATTAATTTACCAATTTGTAAATTGACATAATTCCATATATATACTACCTAATTATTTTTTAGATCAATAATATTCTGAAAGGAACCGTTATCCAATGCCTTTTACCTCTTATTGTCTAGGAGCTCTTCCGACACACACCAGTAGACCCACGACAAAAAAAAACAGCAGCCAACCACCAAACAAAAAAACAAACCACGTCCTGAAGAGGCAGAAAGCCTAAAACAGGACATCAAACAGCCAGAATAAACAGCCGAGAGTCAAAATTGACAATGTATTAACCTAATCAAATAATCCTCTAATATTTTATTTAAAAAAATTAATACTTACACTTCCGTTTTTTCCATAGTCACTAACATTAGTAACGATAATACTTGGATACTCTTGATCGCTGTTAAATTCAATATCATTTACGCTACTTGTCAATATGTCCGTTACGTATGTACCGTTTGGAGTGGTGCTGACAACATCTATATCTATTTCTTGGTCTTTTTGCTCCTCTCCTGGGCTTAAATCAATTGCTTCAGTGGAACTCACATGTACAATAAATGGAGTTTTAGTGAATATGACTGGTATATCAGTAAACGTATTGATAAGGTTGTCATCTTGCGTAAAAGTGTCAAAAAAGTTATCGTTATGACTTGAAACTGGTAAAACGTGAGTTTCGTTATGCTGATGAGTTAAATTTGGATGACTAAAGTTTGGAATATTGTCGTAACGTGGAATATAATTATCAAAATCCTAAAAATTGATAAAGAATAGAAAATAAGTTGCAAAAATAAAGTAGTATGCTATGGCGGGTTTAGAAGCCATTTAGTGTCATCATTAATTTAACTAAAAACTAGTTCTATATTTATTCTCCTGCTAAATCTTCTTGGTTATCAATAGTTTTAGGTGACAAATCATTTAAGTGACTACTTATATGTTTAAATCATGTTAAACTACTCATATGTTAAAGTCAAGTATGTATTTATATTTTTCACTACTATTTTGATATTTTTAACTGTGATTTTAATAATTAATTTTATTTATCTGTGAGTTTTCTACCTTATTATACGGAGTAGAGGCCTGGACACTTTCCGAAGCTTCCTTAAGAAAACTCGAGGCATTAGAGATGTGGTGTTACAGACGTATCTTAAGAATTTCATGGGTGGATCGTGTGACTAATGGTGAGGTCCTACGTAGAATAGGCAAGGAATGCGAGATTATTAACACCATCAAAAAACTCATTCTTCAGGGCAAGGTATTTGGAACGAGAGGACCAGGGAGAAGAAGAAAATCTTGGCTTCAAAACCTGAGAAAGTGGTTTAATACATCGATAATGGGAGTATTCAGAATAGCAGCAAGCAAAGTGAGGATAGCCATGTTGATCGCCAACATCCGGAACGGATAGGCACGGATATGGTAAGTAGAATAATAAAAACTCAAAAATATTGGTTTAATCCATAGACATATCAATTCATAGGAAAATGAAGCCCAAGATAGATATAAGACAACTAAAAGAAAATGACACCCAGAAAAAAAGTAAAAACACCAGAACCTGATGAGATGCATAGTGAAATTTTAAAGTTCTTAGAGGCAACCAAATTACAGCTCTTACAAAACTATTCAACAACATCTACGAGAGTGGTTACTTACCAAAAGACTGGGTACTATCAATATTCATTCCACTTCCTAAAAAACCAAACGCTATAAAATGTGAAGAACATAGATTACTTAGTTTGATGAGCCATGTACTTAAAGTACTTCTTATTATCATTCTCTCGCGCATATATACCAATTAGAAGAACACCTGATTGAAGTTCAATTTTGATTCTGAGCAGGACTCGGAACAAGGGAAGCGCTTTTTAGTTTCAAAGTTCTAATACAGAGAGCCAGGGATGTCAACTACGATGTGTATACATGTTTCATTAATTTCGAGCATTTGACAGAGTTCCACATAAGAAACTAATCGATATTCAAAAAACATCAGGACTTGATGGTAAAAATATAAGACTGATCTTGAACTTATATATCCAACAGAAAGCAACAGAAGGATTAGAAAATGAACTGTCCGAGATCTTCATAGTCGAAAAAAAGAGGTAGACAGGGTTGCATATTGTCACCGGCATTATTTAACATATACTCTGAAAACATCTTTAGAGAGGCCTTGGACGAATCAGAAGATGAGATTGCTGTAAATGGCCAATTTATAAACAATATTAGATATGCAGACGATACAGTCTTGCTGGCAGATAGTGCTCAGAGGCTCCAAAGGATGATTGATATCGTTGTAAAAGCATGTAACAAATACGACCTAAAACTAAATTGCAAAAAGACAAAAATAATGATGATTAGTGAGAACACCAACATAAACGCCCAAATTACAATAGGTGGTACACCTTTAGAAAGTGTGGAAAAAATGTGCTATTTGGGCTGCACTATTAAGGATACATGATATCACAGCTACGAAATAAAAACTCGTATTGAAAAAGCCAGACGCTCTTTGAACAGCCTAAGGAAGATTCGCTGCAACTTATCTTTATGTCTCAATATACGCATAAGAATTCTTAGATGTTACGTCTTTAGTGCTCTCGTCTATGGAACCGAAAGCTGAAACCTTACAGAAAATGCCATAAAATAATTAGAGGCATTTAAAACGTGGTGCTCCCTACGTTTGTTGAAGGTCTTATATATACACCACACAAGTAACATACCTATTTTCCAGAGGCTAAGAAAAGACAAAAAAATTATTTACACCGTAAAGAACAGAAAATTGGCTTTCTCTGGCCACATCATGTGTAATAATAAATAACTATCTTTACTGTTAATTCTACAAGGCAAGATTGAGGGTAAAAGAGGCCCTGCATATAGACGTATATTTTGGCTGGCCAATCTTAGGAATTGAACTGGTCTAACGTCAACTAATCTGTTTAGAGCTGTAAATAGAATAAGATGGGTCAATGTAGTCGCCTTCTTCTTATGGTGCCCTATCCAATTAGTGGATGTTGGCGACAATTCTGACATACTTCTCTCGATCTTGTGTGGCTCTAAAAAGTGCATGGGCATCGAGGTTTGTCCAATTCCTTATGTTTTTAAGCCATGAGTATTTCTTTTTGCCGATGATGCCCCGTTTTCCTTCCATCTTCCCTTTCATAATAAGCTTTAAGAACTGGTACTTAGAATTTCGAAATATATGACCCAAATAAGCAGTTTTTCTTCTTTTTATTATTGGCAGCAATTCTCGTTCTCTGCTTTTTCGATTTAATACTTCGACATTTGTTGTGTGATCTGTTTAGGGAATTTTAAGTAGTCTTCTAAAAACCCATATTTCATAGGCGTCCAATCGGTTCATCACATTGGCCTTTATGGTCCAGGTTTCTACACCATATAGCAGTATGGAGTAAATGTAACATTTTACAAAGAGATATCGAAGCAGTAAGTTGAGGCTGCTGTTGCTTAGCAAGGTTCTCATATTAGTAAGTGCTGTTCTGGCTTACTCAATCCTGGTCCCACGTATTTCTATGTAGTCGCTAACAACTCTAAAAGATAGGCAAATTTGGAAGAATACACTGATCTTTTCAATATCAGCCCATTTCCTAAGTGCAGCAGGGGAAATACACGCAAAGTAGTCCCTGCATTTATTTCTAATTTGCCAGGTTTATCGACCACGTGACCTAAATGCCAATGAGAAGGTCACGTGGTCTATAAATCCGGCCCGTTAGACAGATATGTAGATACTGCTTTGCGTCAGTTTTCTCTGTCGCACTGCAGGAACGCCACTGTAATGCAGCAGTTAGTCTAGCTTGTATTATATGTCTATGTGTATAATACTGACAATTTAAAACTGTAGCTAAATTTGCTTTAAGCATACCCATCAAAATATTTCAAAATGTAGAGTTTAAATACGCTCAGCTCTATTTTACCGTTGTTGGCTTTAATAAACTAAGATATTTTTGATTTCTTCTAAAAATTAGGCGAACACTAAACAAATTCTTTACCTCTTTGGGCTTATACAATATACTCAAGTAAAACAATGACGTATAGTACTACCATACTTCTAAAAGACTTATTTATATTCAGCTCAGCGGGGTGCTATTGTTTAAGGTGTGAAATTATATAAACAATGGATCATTTCATAAAACAGGTTTATGGGATTCTATCCAACGAGCAAAAGCCCCCTTCTGAGCTGAATGTTATTGAGTCTCTAAGAAATATGGTAGTACTATACAAGAGATACATCTAGGACGCAAAATTCAAAGTGATTAAAATACTTTCTAACTGCTACAGAAATGTCAATTCGTGTATGCAAGATGTATATTAAGGATACGTTTCAAAATAGCGAAACAAATATCTAAAGTCTGTATTCTGAATATTCAGCTTCTATGGATATAAGATATATGATAATTCATTTTATCATTTCGTTCTGTAAAAGTCATTAGGCCTGTGCTGATTCACCAAATTGAAAATACTTACAATCTGATCCAAATATCAGAAAAATGTTTAAATTCTACGTAAAAAGGTTTAAAGAAGAGCATTCAGCAGTCGATAAAAAAATTTAATATGGTTTATTTTTTAGGCAATTAAATCTTCACTTTTAGTCCTCTTTAAAAAACCTGTAAGTTATGCGACTTACTGCAGAATGTAAGTACATTTGAAAAGAATAAAGAAGAAAAATGTAAATCAGGCATAGATAAGGAAGTTTACGTTCGTGAAGCATAACAAGCCAGAAAATCTTTAAATAGCGAGAAACTAGCAGTTAGTGAAGATACTTATGTTTTTACATTTGATTTGGAGAAAGTATTGAATTTTCCAAAACTATATCTAACACTATAAGCTAAGTTGCATACCATAAGTGTTGCAAAAGATAGCATCCTGTCTTGTAAACATAAATGATTTAAGACATAACCATATCATTATGTATTGATACAGATTGCTCTGCAGGCCAGGAATAGAATAAACAGCTTAGGTTATCATTACTAAAACTAGTACAAAATCCTTAAATTATATAAATACATACATAAATAAATAAAAACAACATCCCGCTTTTATTTATCACAAATTCCTTGTATCGTATTAGGACATCGTTACCTGCCAAATATCGCTGTATTTGATATTATTAAGTTAAAGGTAATTAAAGGACATTAACAGCCAATGGGATCACTCCAGTGAAATAAAACAACGCATAGGAAAAGCGAAATCAGCGTTTATAATGATGAAGTCTCTTTTTAGAAGTCATGATTTACCACTTGCTACAAAAATCTCTCTCATTAGATGCTATGTATTTTCTACCTTATTATACGGAGTAGAGACCTGGACACTTTCCGAAGCGTCCTTAAGAAAACTCGAGGCATTCGAGATGTGCTGTTACAGACGTATCTTAAGAATTTCATGGGTGGATCGTGTGACTAATGTTGAGGTTCTACGTAGAATAGGTAAGGAATGCGAGAATATTAACACCGTCAAAGAGCGCAAACTAGAATATCTTGGCCATGTTATGAGGAATGAACAGAGATACGGCTTGTTGCAACTCATTCTTCAGGGCAAGGTATTTGGAAAGAGAGGACCAGGGAGAAGAAGAATATCTTGGCTTCAAAACCTGGGAAAGTGGTTTAATACTTCGACAACGGGACTATTCAGAATAGCACCAAGCAAAGTTAGGATAGCCATGTTGATCGCCAACATCCGGAACGGATAGGCACCATAAGAAGAAGAAGAAGAAGTTAAAGGTAACGAATAAGGAATTTATTTGTGGTTTTAAA